AATTACACAAGTGTGGTGTTGATCATGCGTTACACATATGATTGTATACATGTATATCCGTTGCTATTAATAATCATGATCATAAAGAAATAACAAGTAATATTCTAATCTCTAGCATGCAAATCAAAGTTCATAATGAACAATGTCTTTCGTCCGTTCATTCTGGTAAAAACCAATTAACCATTGAAAAGTTTATAAGAATATCTTGTCATCATATGTCTACTAGTTCATCTTCACTTCTGCATTTCTTGCTTGGATTGCATCAATGCTTTTCTTGTTTTTTTATTGGCTACTGTGTTAGTAATGACGTAGTAGATAATGGAAAAGAAAACCCGATATATTAACGCTTTTGTCAACATTCTTTCTTGAATCAAGGTGTCAGTAATGATGGATTTATACAATAAACCTAACTAGATTAGTATTTACTGTTAACTTGAAATTTTATTTCATTTTTTTCCCATTTTACCATCTGGGGGTCAGTGGCTTTAAGAACTACAAATATTTTTACATTATATAAATAACACATGGGTTTGTGGGTAACAGTAAAAATATCATCCCGAGGAAAATACTGTTACCCGAGGCGTAGCCGAGGGTAACAGTATTATTACGAGGGATGCTATTTTTACTGTTACTCACAAACCCATGTGCTATTTACTTTATTACCCCGAACAAAAATACTATGATGATCTGAAATTGTCAACTTAATCTAACTGTAACAAAAATAAGCAATGAGTAACAATAACTAAACTGTCCTTACCTTTTAAGTTTTAAGTGTACTTTAGGCCTACTTGAGAAGTTTTCTTTTTCTTTTATTCTTTAAGCAAGTGATAATATCTACAAAATCATAAACATACAATAAGCTAGGTTTTATTTAGAAAACAAATCACTAACACATTAACACGTTTATGATCTGTGAAACCTGATCCTTCTGTTTCCAGAATATTCTTAGCATGTTTTTTGACAAAATAACGATGCTATCCTATGCCTGTCCACCATATCTGTAACTTTTCACTAAATAATCCTTTGTTGCGTGCTTAAATCGTATGCATGTTCCTGTTTGACACATAATTATTTACATTGCAATTACTTCCGTTGAAAACAGATGTTCACTTTTTGACTATTCAACAAAAAGATATTTTATACGCGAAAAGCTCAACAGGGTGCGAACAACTAAATTTTATGAGGGTCATAGTTACTCCAGAGAAGAAATTGATGTCCTGTCGGGGTTTAACGTCGAAAATAAGAATGAATCGAGAAAAAAATGGCGGCCATTTTATTTCATTTTATTTAGAAAATAGACCACGTGACCAGATTTTATACTGTTAAAATACTGTTACCTGTGTAACAGTACAAAATTCTTAGTCACGTGGTACACTTGCATTAACAGTAAAAATAACTCCCAGAGGCCTATGGGAAATTAGCATTACGAAAAAAGTGAGGGGTAATAAAAAAAAGTACATCTTCTTAAGAGAAAGTGCCAAAATATTTCCTTATTATGTTTAGAGAAACTTCTTTCATGCGAGAGAATGGACAGATAAGAGCGCTCTGTGCCGAGATTACTTAATTCTGACTGTCACATAATCGCAGTTTAAGGAGCTTCTCACCTCACTTAAAACATGTTTCCTATTGTATTGACAATGGACAGTTGTTTCAATCCATGCATTCCTTGCAAAGGTTGAAAATTATTTCCCTCCATTATCAACTTGAAATAACTTGTTTTTTGAGTGAGAAAAAGAGATAAAAATTCCATGCTTTACTGTCTCATTTTGTGTGTATGAAACAATCACTATCGGTTATATGGTTGGGACTATAAAACATATCCAATATGGAATAATAAAGTAAAAGAATGTATATTTTTGTGCCCCTATAGGGGGGTTGGGGGGGGGGTTAGATTTACCATTGTTATTAATCACTTCTATTTGAAAAAAAAACAAAAACTTTTGATATGCTTTTATCTAAATAATGTTCCTTCCTTTTGATTCATGAAGCCATCAACAGTCATGTGTCCGTTTCATAAAATAATTATAAATGCATGCATTCTTGGTAGTTGACTTTATAGGGAATTACACTGTATTTGTAAAACTGACAGTTGTAGGAAAGACATGATTATTTGATAGCATGATTGTTTAGTTAAAGTGTGTCTGAGTTAAATCACACATATACTGATCTACATGATGTTTAAAAGGTTCTTGTCCACAAACTGTCATTCCCAGGTAACAAATAAAGAATGAGTTTTGCGTTACTAAGAATTTAAGAAACTAAAGCCTTAATATAAAACAAATTATAGGAACATTTCTATGTTATACAAATATCAAACATAAATTTTTAAAACTCAAATTCAAGGATTGCACCTAGTATCTAATTTTTAAGTATAAGAAGTTGACATGTTTGAAGGAGATGTGTGCATTTAATGTTCACGTTCCAAACTAAGAAAGTTAAGTCACACATGTGCACGTACACAAAATTAATGGCCATTATTTTGATAAATATTGGACAATATTTGGATATTGGATACTTTTTAGCAATTAAGAGATAGTTTCTTCATCTGCAAGTATAAAAAACACATTTAATTTAATGTATAGGTACAACAAAAGATAGCGACAAAAACATGTTTTACAGAAAATTATTGAAAATCAAGAAAAGATATTTATAGGTCTACCGATTTTTTAACATTAAACAATTAATTATAAATGAGCCGTGTCACGACAAAACCAACATTATGGGTTTGCGACCAGCATGGATCCAGACCAGCTTGCGCATCCGCGCAGTCTGATCAGGATCCATGCTGTTCGCTATCAGTTTCTCGACTTGTAAAAGAGTTGGTAAGCGAACAGCATGGATCCTGATCAGACTGCGCGGATGCGCAGGCTGGTCTGGATCCATGCTGGTCGCAAACCCACTATGTTGGTTTTGTCATGGCACGGCTCAAATATTGTTTCGATAATAATTACACAAAATTAGCGGTATGAAAGTTTAGCAGGCCCTAAACTAGAAGTTTTTATTTTTTTTTGAACTTACTCCGACGTTGTCGTGTGCTCTTCTCATATTAATTTCTGAAGTATAATATATATATTGATTAAATAAGGTAAACTGTGACAATAATCAACGTTCAATCAATATTTAAACATCATTAGCTATAGATCAGTGTAGACCTCCACAGATGAAAATTGTCGAACAACGTCGCGTCCTTACTGCAACGTTGTTTCTTTTCAGTATAAAAAATGTTTTATGGTTGCTTTGGTTATTATCCCTGGCCGAAAAGGCGGCGGGGGATATAGTAATAGTCTCCGTCCGTCTGTCCGACCTTCCGTCCGTCCGTCCGACAATTTTGTTAGGAGCATATCTTAAAAAGTATTTTAGGTATCAACTTGAAACTTCATAGGTGGATAGACCTCATTGAGGAGGAGTGCAGTGCACAAGAATGATAACTTTACCATGCATAATTTTTGAGTAATTGCCCTTTGTTATTTTTCATACTTAATGTTTCACCTGAGTGGAGCATAACTCAAAAAGTGTTTGAGATGTCAACATGAAGTGTCATAAGTGGATAGATCTTATTGAGGCGGAATGCTGTGCGCAAGAATGATAACTCTTTGCTATATAATATTTTATTTATTGCCCTTTGTTATTTTTCATACTATTTTGTGGGGAGCTTATCTCAAAAAGTATTTGAGGTATCAACTTGAAACTTCATAGGTGTATATAGTTTACTGAGGAGGAGTGCAGTGCACAAGAATGATAACTCTACCCTGCATATTTTTTGAGTTATTTCCCTTTGTTATTTTTCAAAATTAATTTTTGTCCATAACTCATAAAGCCTTTGAGAAATCAACATGAAACTTCATAGGTGCATAGATTTCACTAAGGAGGTGTGCAGTGCACAATAATGATAACTCTACCTTTTTAAATTTTTAAGTTATTGCCCTTTGTTATTTTTCATCACCTGAGTAGAGCATAACTCAAAAAGTGTTTGAGATGTCAACATGAAATGTCATAGGTGGATAGATCTTTTTGAGGAGGAATGCTGTGCGCAAGAATGATAACTATTCCCTATATACATTTTTGAGTAATTGTCCTTTGTTCTTTTTCATACTATTTTCTCGGGAGCTTATCTTAAAAAGTATTTGAGGTATCAACTTGAAACTTCATAGGTGGACAGATCTCATTAAGGAGGAGTGCAGTGCACAAGAATGATAACTCTTCCCTATATTTTTTTTAGTTATTGCCCTTTGTTCTTTTTCATACTTTTTTGTCGGGAGCGTATCTCAAAAAGTATTTGAGGAACTCTACCATGCATAATTTTTGAGTTATTGCCATTTGTTATTTTTCAGAATTAATTTTTGTTCAGAGCATAACTCAAAAGGCCTTTGAGATATTAACATGAAACTTCATAGGTGCATAGATATCACTCAGGATGTGTGCAGTGCACAAAAATAATAACTCTACCTTTCATGATTTTTTGAGTTATTGCCCTTTGATATGTTTTCATACTTAATTTTTCACCTGAGTGGAGCATAACTCAAAAGTGTTTGAGATGTCAACATGAAATGTCAAAGGTGGATAGATCTTATTGAGGAGGAATGCTGTGCGCAAGAATGATAACTCTTCCCTATATTTTTTTTAGTTATTGCCCTTTGTTCTTTTTCATACTTTTTTGTCGGGAGCGTATCTCAAAAAGTATTTGAGGTATCAACTTGAAACTTCATAGGTGGATAGATTTTACTGAGGAGGGGTGCAGCACACAAGAATGATTACCTACCCTGCATTATTTTCAGTTATTGCCATTTGTTATTTTCAGCCATCAGTATTTACATAGGTTTCAAATCTGTAATCACTTCAGTCATCAGTTTTCATTACCAAAAGATCCTTAAAATTGAATGATTCTGCTCTACTACATATACATTCTTCAATGAGCAAACACTTTCGGCGGGTGATGGCCATGTTGACATAGCTCTTGTTTCTTCACTATTTATATAAAACAAAATTTATCTGACTTTAAGGTACACCTGAATCACAAATCGACTGGGACACGGTTTTCTTGAAGCTATCAAAATCGTTGTCTCCTACTAGCTGGAAATTTTTTGCGTATCATTTACTCAGTAAGTACATTAAATATATATATATATTAATATTATTACACTTTCATAAATTAAAATTGAAGGTTTTAGCACTCTGTTGACTTGCTACTTTATTTTGGGTGTTCTCAGTTATTTGAATGATGTCAGATATCATGAGACAGAGTAAAGAATTTCTGGCAGTCGTTTTTTCTTTCATTATGTTTTAAAATAAACTAAATTTAAAAAACACGAATTACATTTTGTCTGTAGACGGTTGTCAGTCATTGCCGAGAAGCGTTCATGATACAGTTGAGGAAATTGAGATGGAGACAAAGAATCAGCATACGTCTGGTTGGGTCATTCATGCATACCTTAATGTGTTCTATAGATGGCTTAAATGTTTAGGACGTGCACGTGCATCGATTGAACATATAGAGGAAGCCGTTATGGCATGTATGGAGGAACAGGATGCTAAAGACCTAGTAATTGAGTTCAAAAAGTATGATTGTTTTAAATAATTGAGTATCGTAAGTCGTAGAATGAAATAACGAAGACACGATTTCGAAAAGAAGAGTCAAAATCTTTAAAAATAAAAATTATGTAGGATATGGTACATGTGTATCATACATTATAAGAAAATAAGGGTTTGGCTGATATCTTGGGTTAAGTTAAGTTTTGTAAAAATAATCTTCATTTACCAAATTGTCAATTATCAAAATCAAGAGGCTTGCCTACAATCTGAAGGGACCCCAATGAAATGATGACAAACCGGTGAAGAAATACTATGATTGCTTAAGATTAAATGTTAAGATACAAATAATGTTTCTTGGTATCAATTTTTATCCTCAACGAATACAATGAATATCTTCTAGATAATCTAATTATAATATAATTTTACATTACAAGTTTCAGACCTAACGAATACAAACATCAGTTTATTAATCACCTAGATGTTTTATTTTCACAATGTAAATTTACAAAGAAACATACATTTATCCTTTATTTTTCAAACTGTATATTTCTTTATAGGAGCCCGCCAATGAAAGTATCAACGTCAATATGTAACACTTTAGACCCGTACACATTTGACCGAACATCATTTGGGCGCAATGCTTCATATCCTGCACAGTTCATGTACATGGCCCTGTGTGATGATAAAACACAAGACAAAGCCATGACCCGAAAACATGTCAGGTCAAGTGAATCACATATTTTCGAAATTGCTCAGTTTTCCTCCGGACCTTTGGATCCTACAAATGAAATAACCAATCGTCAGGAAACGTTCACTACAGTCCAGTTGAACAAAACCTGTAAAAAGCCAATTAATAGACGTGAAAAACGAAAGACAAAGCAATCAACAATTCAGGAAAATAAAAAACGATTAAAAAATGATAACTATAATATTCGAAATGCATTAGAAAATATGCGTTTAGATATCATGCCGATCCGTCAAAATGACTATGACATATACATGGATTTTGTTATAAACCGTATTTTAAACGAATGCCATGTGAGTAAAAGCATAGTATTGTCCGTCAAATACGCAGGGTTTTGTGAACCTTACAAAATAGAAACAAAAGATAAGGAAACATTATACGTTTTAAAAAGCGGAAGAGCAAATATTTGTATGGGGAAAGAAGTATACGATGATTTAGACTTTTACGGGAACGTTGCAAGAACAAAGCTATTGACAGATCTGAAGGCAAAGTATACTGACTATGATGAAACCACTTCTGAAACGTATTTGTTCATAAGATTCGACGGGAAACCACTATTTGAACAAGAAGAAGTATGTTTTGTATGATAACAGATTTTAGTGAATTTGATTCAAAATGAATGAATTTTACCAAGATATTATCATAAATAATTAGTTCCGTAACGCTAGAATAGTAATGTAGGATTTGCAAATTATCATTTTAATATAAAGTTTATCGCTCCTTTTAAATATTCCGTGCCATTAAATACCTTTTCACTTAGTACAGTTAATTGAATTAAACCTGTTCGCTTAGTTGTTTAATGAAAATAGTCAATGCTTTGCAGTTTAGCAGTATATTGAAACGAATATCTTATTGTCTAATGAACCTGATAGAACATCACGAGGATTATATACATGCACTGATAATATATGTTTCATTTAAATGGCTATATCTCTGTTAATTTTATGCTTTTTAGTGGATTACTGATTTATCCGTGACAATTAAATTAATATTGATAATTTCACTGTGAAAATTATGAAAATATAAGTTCACACTTTTCATTGACGAAACTACTTTTTAAAGATTTTCCCCATGCGGTACTTCAATTTTATTTTTGCTGACAATTCTGACAATGTCAGACTGTTTAAAGGAAAGCACTGAAACTGATAAATAACTTAAATGTGAAAAGTAATGAAAAGAAGAAAACTTACTTCTATTCATTCAAATTACCAATTACCAAATACCGTCTCTTATTTATTTTGTTTCATTTATACAGTCTGAAAAATACATTCCTTTCACATGCAAAACTGCTCTTGATGACATTTGGGCATATTTAAGTATTCTACGAGCAATAACTGCCGTATGCTTTATGAAAACTTAAAAAGCAATTGCAGCCATCAGCCCACAACCAAGCGTTTGTATGGCAGCCTTTCAACAATTCCAAGTTTTCCAATTTCCTAGCCTTTTTTTGAATGTTTACACACCTGTCAACACTTTATTGTCTGTTACAATCCTCAAATAAGTTTTCTTTCTTAAAAAAAGGTGTATGACTAACACATCCAAATGATATCCCTCTAAATCAAACACAATTAATTTCCTCCTGTGAAATACACAACTTTTAAAAATGGCGGCGCTTACATTTAACAAAGCCAGACCAGGTCTAATATAAATTCGCAGTAAGTAACAGAAATATGGATGGATGGTTGGACTTTTTCTCCTACTAGAATTGTTTGTTTTTATTATTAAAATAAGCGATCATTCATATTTTTTTTAATAAACTGAATAATATCATCGCCATTGAATGTTGACTGTCGAACTTATTTTTTTCAGCCCAAGACTTCTTGTATTTATGAGAAATTCGACTAAATGAGGCTCTCAATGGGGAAAACAGATTTTAATATTAACGTTAATATTAAGGAAATTTCGTTTTAACTTGTTTTTAGCATAAAATAAAAAGAAAATTTGTTTGTTTGTTGTGTAAGATGTAATTTCATTTCATCTCGTGAACTGTAAAAACAGTATTCTCACTCGTGGCTACGCCACTCGTGAGAATACTGTTTTAAGCCCACTCGATGAAATAAAATTTCATCTTACACACAAACAAACACATATCCTCTACATATTATCGTTGACACATTTTAAATACTTGTTATTTTTTATTTAGGAGAAAGTTGATAACACCGAAAACAACATGTCTGAAAAGGTGGAGGGTACCGAGCAGCAATTACAAGTAAATGGTAAAAATTATCTTTCAATCAGAAACTCCCCTGACATGAAAGCATCGGAGGAACACTTAAACATCAGAAAAAAAGATTTTGAAGCTGAAAAGGAAGACAGATCAGGGCCGAAAATAGATCAACATGATAAGAAAGAACTACGGCAAAGCAAAGAAGAAAGAGAAAAAAATAAAACTGAAGGGAACAGAAAGCAGGAAAGTCATTTTACCGCCTTAGATATAGAAAAAGAATTAGAAAGCATTAAAGAATCGTTCTTTCCGACAGGTGATGAATTATATAATTTACCGACCGCAGACGATGTGGCCGAGGCTTTTAAAAATATGTTAGGTCAATGCGTGAGACCTCCGGTTTATGGAGGCAATTCGTTGCCAAAAATCGAGCCTTGTTGATCTGAGTTGAACAGTTTGTTTACAGACAAAATGCACTTGTATTTCTTTGTATGTAAACTCCAATGTTGTATTCTGGGATTGGGATTGCCGATTTAATATTGTAAACATGTATTTCAACTTAATAAATTTTGTTAAACGACAAAATATTAACTGTTTTTCTGATAGTAGCAATACCCAGTGTCCATCATAACATGCGGAATACTCATTGTTCGTGTATACGCCGACACACCAGAAATTATTTTCTTAGCTTTACATTGTCAAACCATCATCATTCGGATCTGCGTAATCCAGCTTTACACGTTTTTCAATAGGAGATCAAATAAGCTCCGCCCATTTTCCCGCCCACTACATCATCGTAAATAAACGTATTTATCCGTTCATTTTCGGTATTTACCGTCAGCGACGTGTAGTTTCCGTTTACTACACCTTTTAGGTGTTTTGTTATTCGCCACACATAATTAACTTGCATGATTGTCATTCTATGCCTTTATACAATCAACATCAGCGGGCTTTAAAAGATTATAGGCATATAAGTTTTGAAACGTTGTAGATACCACATTTCCTAGAAAAAGAAACTAAAAAAGAAAAACAAATAAAAAAACTCACAGGGTTACTAACTGTCTGAAGTTAAATATTTTTCAATGAAGTAAAAACTATTGATAAGACTATATTCAGCGACAAATAAATTTTACTGAGAGGATTCCAATTTGCATAGGAATGAGTAACATTGACGTGAAGCGCAATTAGAAGGCGAGGGAGATTATGTGCAGTTTCAAGGGAAAACCCCGACTAAGAAACGTTCAAATTCTCGAAGCAAAGATTCGTGAAAAACTAAATATCAGAAGCTGGAAGAAAAATTTGATTCGAAAATTCAGTGTATGGACAGTAAGTAAGACCGTCTATTTAGTATTTTATCTTCCAAACATTCTCCCGGAAATCCATATTCTGATTCTGATAGTACATATGACGATTTTTCGGAAAGAAGAAATTCGGATAAGAATTCAGGTTTATCAAAACGTGATGACATTATTACAATTCCATCAAATACGGATGTTGATAATTGTTTGAATGACATTGATCCAGAAGGTTCTAATTCTGAATTACAGAAGTCGCCTGATAAAAATGATTCAAATTCAACGTTTTCTGAAAAAACAAAAAAGTTGTCTTGTCGAATTATTTGGAGAAGAAGCTCTTTTACCAAGTAAAGAACCCGAAGAGAATGGTATATTACTTGATGATGCTCAGAAATCTGTAATTTCAAACAGTTATAGGACTAAGAATCCACAACATTTGTCAGCCTATAATGAAAATCTACTTGATGAATTTCCAGTTAGTAAAGAAACAGATTTTTTTTTTCAAGTACCTCAAATTGATCCATTATTTGAATATTTCCTTATAAGGAAACATGGTGAAAAAGCATCCTTTGCAAATTCTTAACCCAAAGGGATGACCAGTTTATATTCTCAACCTTGCAAGAGTGTAGAAAGAATTGCCTACAAAGTCTCCAATGCAGCTCGCATAGGAATGATAACTCAGGCCTATGTTCAACAAGGACTTGGGAATTTATTACAGGTACTTCTCACAGGTAATTTTGATTTTGAAGATCTAGTTAAACAAGTGAGAAATATTTTGCTATCACTACCCGAAGTATAGATCAGTTTGGCCGGACAGGAGCCTTTTCCCACATAATTAGAAGTTCTTTAGCTATGTCTGACACATCTCTCTTTGAATTACATGATCATGGGAAAATCTCAAGTTTACCACTATCAGGTGAGGGGCTTTTTGGTCCAGATTTTGAAACTTTGTTAAAGCAACACAAAGAAAGAAAAAAGCAAATAGATGAACTTTTGCCAGATTTTCACAAAAAAGATACAGTGTATAAACGCAAATTGAATTCAAATTCAAAGGCTAATGAAATGAACCACCTGCGAAAAAGCCATTATATGACAGACAGCGCACTGCACCTTCCTCCAATAGTTCAGATACATGTCGTATTCCAAAAGTCACAGTATCTGTAGTCAAGCCTTCCAGTAAATACCAGGGAGACAGGGCATTCAGCTATGGTAAATCAAACCGTCCCGATACCTCCAAATCGTGGACGATCAGATAAAAAATGACTCGGTAAGAACAATAGCAAAATTTCCAGAGATACCTGTTGGGGGAAGACTCAGTCATTTCTTTGCAGAATGACAGAAAATAACAAACGATCAATGGGTTTTAGATATTGTTCAAAATGGCTACAAACTGGAATTTATTAATTCAAGAGTTTCAGATTTAATCGGTATAGAAATTCAAAAGCTTTTAAAGAAAAATGCTATAGAAACAGTCCATCCGACTATGATAAGAACCGGTTTTTACTGTACATTATTTCTGGTAACCAGAAAGAATGGGGAAATGAGACCAGTAATAAATCTCAAACCCCTCAACATATATCTCAGGAAAACACATTTCAAGATGGATACTATGAAAAAAGTGCTGAATCTAGTTCGAAAAGGGGATTGGGCATTCAGTCTAGATTTAAAGGATGCTTATTTTCACATCCTTATTCACAAAAAGCATCGGAAATATCTCCGTTTTTGTTACAAGGGAATAGTTTATCAATTCAGAGCACTATGCTTTGGACCAACAGTAGCTCCAAGAGTTTTTACAAAAATCACAGCAGTAGTAGCTGCACATCTTCGAAAACAAAGCATACGCTATTAACTTATCTAGACGATTGGTTATCAATAAATCAGTCCAAACATTATCTGATTCAGAATCGTACAACAATGCTGAATCTTCTTTTCGAGCTAGGTTTCATAGTCAACAAAAAGAAATCCAATCTTGTCCCTTCACAATCAGTAACTTACATAGGGGGTCAGTTTGCTTTAGACAAGGGGTTAGTATTTCCAACTCCAGAGAGAGTTGCGGGCCTGAAAATGTCGGCAAAAAAATTACTTTTGGGTCAGAATACAGCCAGGGACTATTTAATATTTCTAGGCAAAATAGCTTCTTGTCTGGATCTGATACCAAATGCAAGGTTGTTCATGCGTCCGATCCAACTTCATTTGCTGCAAAATTGGAGTCCCATAAGAATGTCTTTTTCACATGTAATACCAGTTTCCCCTTCGCTAAAATATCATCTACAATGGTGGTTACAGGAAGTGAACATTCTCAAGGGCTGTGGTTATCTACAGAGTCATACAAATGTATCGATAACCACAGATGCAAGCAGTACATGGGGTTGGGGTGGACATATGAACAACCTTACTGTTGAAGGACGTTGGACTCCTTTACAACAACTCAAACACATCAATTGTTTGGAGACGGAAGCTGTGATCAGAACAGTAAGACATTTCCTACCCCGCCTGAAACACAAAAATGTACTGATTTGTTTAGACAATATGACAGTTGTACAATACATCAACAAACAGGGGGGTACGAAATCTCTGAATCTCTGCCAGAAAACTTGAATCTTTGGACGTTGGCACTAGCCAATGCCATGTCACTGAAAGCAGCTCATATAGCTGGAGACAAGCCTATACTGGCAGATGCTCTGAGCAGATACAGAGTAAAGGAGACAGAGTGGTCCTTGAACAAAACAGTTGTGAGGAAAATTTTCAGCATCTTGGGTTTTCCAATGATGGATCTGTTTGCGACAATAGAAAACAAACAGACACAACTGTTTTGTACTTGGATTCCTCACCCAGCAGCATATGCAGTGGATGCCCTCTCAATCGCATGGACGAACATGTATGCCTATGCATTTCCACCGATAAAGTTGATACCACGTGTTTTGTCTCACATGCAGAAATATCAGTGAACACTAATTCTAATTGCTCCGAATTGGCCACGTCAACATTAGTTTCCGATTCTACTGCAAATGTTGATTGCACAACCACTGATACTACCCGTGCAGTCGGATCTATTGTCTCAAGTCAAGGGGAGAATTGTACATCCTCGACCCGAGATTCTAAATCTGACTGCATGGCTCATATCGACAGATACTATGAAACAAGAGGCTTTCAGAAAAATCTAGAAAATTACTGACAGCCTCATGGCGAATGGGCACTAAGAAAGACTATAGATCTAAGTTCAAAATTTTCAGTCATTGGTGTAGTGAACAACAAATTGATCCATACACAGCATCTCTAGAACAATGCATAAATTTCTTATCTGATTTTTTTTGCAGGTTCTGCATATAGGACTTTATCTGGCTATAGATCTATGATGTCTTCTGTTTTACCAAGGGTTGATAATTTTGCTGTTGGACAACACCCTGTAGTCATAATGCATTTAAATGGCGTATTTAATGAAAGACCACCTTTAAAAAAGCTTGTTTCTGAATGGGATTTACCTTTTGTTTTACAAGCACTAACAGAGACTCCTTTTGAACCGTTGATTAAAGCGTCCCTGAAGCATCTTACATGGAAAACAAGCTTCCTTATTGCTGTAACATCTTTCAGGCGATGTAGTGATTTGCAGAGTCTCAAGCTTGGTGAGGGAAATGTTAACATACAAAATAAAAGTATAAGGTTCGACCGTGGGTATCCGACGATGCTAAATGTGGACATATCACAGTTGACATAAGATGGATGACCGACATTCAACAATCTAAAACCTCACCCTGAGCCAACCTATAAAGTTCACCACTGAAATAAATAATAAAGATAATAAAAATGAATACTGCGTAATGATTTAGATGATGTGTAGCCATTCTCAGAAATATATTATTGCTTTTCTATATAATTATTTTCTTTACTCTATTGAAACTACACAAGTTCATATAGCATGTAAATATAAAACGACTGCTAGATTATTTTTTACTATAAACAAATAAAAAGTAAAAGTTAATTATTTAAACGATTGAAAAGTCTAATTTTATGAGTATTTCTATTCATATACCTTTCTTATCGTGTGTCCAATGTGGTTTTCGGCTTTCCCATTTTTTTAACGCTGACTGTTACATAGCCGAAAAAACACAAGTTTTTCATACTGTATTTATTACAAAAAATAACTGACATTTTACAAAGGTAATAAAATTTATGTAATAGTTATTCATTTAAACGGTTGAAAAATGTATTTAGCAGCACTTTTTTTATATATACAGTAGGGTGAACGTTTCAGTTTACACGCAAAACGCACGCTCTGGAAAAAACGGCACGCAC